AGCCTCAGTTGGCCCAGAGAGATGGAATTGCACTGCACCGGTTTTGCATGACAGACCTCCTGTACTCGACTTGCCCCTGCTCAGCATCCCCCACCCCACTTAGATGCAGAAGGGACCAGTGACCCTGGAGCTTGCTGGTGGCTAATCTGGATGTCCTTTTCCAAAATCCACATTTCATACTTTTCCTTTATATTTATCCAATGGCATAATTAATCAACCAGTTCATTTTTTAACTTTTTAAAAAAAAAAGATTTTATTTATTTATTCGAGAAAGTGCAAGTGAGCACAAGCAGGGGGAACAGCAGAGGGAGAGGGAGAACCAGAGTCCCCACTGACCAGGGAGCCCAACACGGGGCTCGATCCTAGGACGAGATCATGACCCAAGCCAAAGGCAGATGCTTAACCCACTGAGCCACCCTAATTTTTTAACTTCTTAATGGAATTATAAACATACAGATTTGGTCAACACCACATTATGCTTTAAATACCTAAGCTTAGGTCTGGCAGAAGGGTGCTGGGAGCAATAGCGTACGTGCTGTTGCTGGAATTTCTTTCATCTGTCACTTGCTAGTCCTGTAATCAGGCTTTTTCTTTATTGGCCAGATCATTTGGGATGATTTCCAGGAAACTGGAAATACTTCGAAGAGATGTTTCTATTTGAAAGGAGTGCCTAAGTTTTTCTGAAGTCAATAATAGAAAAGCTGAATGAGCCAAGTGTTTACTTAGAGTCCGTTTCTGCTCCAGTGTTTCGGTGAAGAATGTCTAACCTTTACAAATATCATTAAGGGTGATCTGGTTGTCAAGGTTATTCTGTTTAGGGTAGGACAGGAAGAGGAGACTGTAATATTGGCAAAAACAAAAGGGTACGGCAGTGACCGTGTACAAATTGTCAAGTCATCTGTTATGGGTATGCGAGGCTTGGGAGCAAGGGTTGGGCTGCAGGGGGCTCGCTGTGCTCTCCTGTCCCCCCCACCCCCGGCACTTCGCACATCAACCTCCCCTGGGCAGGTGTGAATGTGATACCCACCCTGTGTGGGCTGCATTCCCCTCTTGTTGTCTGTAATCCCCTCATCAGCAGAGCTGGCCTTCGAAATACAGGAGCCCAGAGGATGGTGGAAGGCTCTGGATTCTGGAGTAGATGGCCTGGAGCCAGGTCTTCCGTCTGCCGGTCACCAGCTTCACGACTGTGCACGACTTAATTGCTTTCTGCACCTCGAGGTTCCTGTCTGTAAAATGGGTGTAATGATAGTGCCTACCTCACAGGGGTTAACGGTTGTAAAGAAAGAACTGTCAAAGGGCGCCTGGGTGGCTTAGTGGGTTGAGCCTCTGCCTTCGGCTCAGGTCATGATCTCAGGGTCCTGGGATCAAGTCCCACATCAGACTCTCTGCTGGGTGGGGAGCCTGCTTCCTCCTCTCTCTGCCTGCCTCTCTCTGTCAAATAAATAAATAAATAAAATCTTAAAAAAAAAAAGAAAGAAAGAACTATCAAGAGGTGGGGTTGAAAATACCCAATTCTGGTCGTCTGGTTCCAGTGTTTTCAGTGGCGGGAGGTGAGCCTCTGTGAGACTCATGGTAAGGGTTCCACTCTCCTTTCTGCCCATGTGGGAAGAATTTCTCATGTTTTGTATTGATGCCAGTAGGAAAGCTTGATAGCATGTTTTTATCTAGAAATACAAATAATTATCAAATGGAATTAGTGAAACCAAGAGGGACATTTTTTTTATATAAAGAAAGCCCAAGTATTTTTTTATGGAGTTACTGCACCTAAAGTTAGTTATGATAAATGACAATCTCATCTTACAGGGGAAAAGATTAAAAACATAATCCGCTCTCTGATAAAAACACAACATGGCACAGTTTCGTTGAAGTAATTAGACTCTGCTGCTTTAATCTTGAATTTGGCTGGGTCGCATGTGAGTTAATTTTTTCCCCCGGTTTGAGACACACACAGTAAGGTGGGACCCTATATGTGAGTCAACCAGGAGGAAAAACCATTTGGGAATTGAATGTTGGTCCAGCAATCCAATTTGACTTCTACCCGCAGGCAGTGTGTGGTGCCGGCTGGGTCTGCATCGTTATTCCGGAGTCAGTGCTGACATCCTGTGACTAATATGTTCCAGCTGTCTGGGTCACTACTTTGGAGTACTGTTTATTTGCGGTAGTGATGCCGCAAACAGGAAAAGCTTTCCCTTTTGTTGGTTGAGAGCTTTGCTGGTAATTAGCAAAACAAGTATGCCTCTTATTTGGGAGAGACTGGAAAGGAGGCTGAAGAGTCCATTGAACACGACCCCAGTGGAAAACGATTTGGCATTATTTAGAAGAGCTGAACACGTGCACTCCCGTGCTCTGCCCCCTCTTAGGTGAACACCCTGGAGAAACGCCGTGTGTGCCCCAGGGACAGGCGCTGGAATGTAAGTTGTTCATGATAGCAAAAACTGACAAGTCCCCAGGGGGTCCTCAGCAGAGTGGGGCGGTGAGCTGTGGCTCTGTTCACACAGAGGTAACTGTATAGAAGGCGATGAATGTCAACCACAGTTGCACGAGTCACCAGGGGTGCGTCTCAGAATCCGTGTCACAAGAGGCAAGTCTGAATTCACACACTCAGTGTTTCACTTTTCATTGGTTAAAACCCAGCAAAATGCAACCACATACTGAGAATAATACGCATGTGATGAAAACATACAGATGAGCAGAGGAATTAAATCACAGTTGGGGCTAGTAGTTATTTGTGCAGGGGAGTGGACGGGAGGGCGTCAGGAAGGGGCACACACATCTTCCATAAAACCCCACAAGACCCCCCCAAACCCAGCCTCTGGGGTATTAGGTGCATGGGATTGGTTTCCATTATTCTCTAGTCTGACGTGGTCAGCGAATAACAAGGTTCCCCAAACGTAGTGGTTTAAAACACTGATGAACATTGATTATCTCACAGGGTCTGTGTGTGGGTAAGACATTGGGAGACAGACCGAACTGGGAAGCTTATTTTGCTCATTTTTGCTTTGGTAACGGCGCAGGCATTCACTGACATGACGTGGTTGGGGGGGCATAGGTGCCGCACCTGTTTGCGATGTGGGGCTGGAGGGAGGCCCGTGGTGTGAGCTGTTGGGAGGGAGGGGGCCCTGGCAGGTGACAGCACCTGCCGGGGTTGGGGGCTGGCAGGGCAGGGCAGAGAGGGATTCGGGAAGTATGGACCTCTGGACGCGTGGTACAGATGGGACCACATGTGCTTAGATGTCTGTCTACCCATGTCCCTAGATCGGGCAAAAGTCTGGGCCCTGTGATTTTGAGGAGAATTCTCTGGACTAATGGCTATCTGCAGCATCCTGGGCTCCCCGTGATATTGAAGCATCCTGGGCTCCCCGTGATGTCTTCCCTGACATCTTCCCTGACATCTCTGCCAGCTTCACTCGATCTTCCGAGAACCCCCCCTAATGGGAAAGGAGAGCCCACCCCTCACTCCCTTCCCCTCCAAGTGAGGGTGTAGCTGGAAATGAGCTGGACAAGTAAGGATGGGAGTTGGAGCTTAAAAATTCATGCAGTGGGGCGCCTGGGTGGCTCAGTGGGTTAAGCCGCTGCCTTCGGCTCAGGTCATGATCTCAGGGTCCTGGGATCGAGCCCCGCATCGGGCTCTCTGCTCAGCAGGGAGCCTGCTTCCTCCTCTCTCTCTACCTGCCTCTCTGCCTGCTTGTGACCTCTCTCTGTCAAATAAATAAATAAAATCTTAAAAAAAAAAAATTCATGCAGTGATGACATTCTGCTCGCAATACACGTTTGTTTTAATATTAACAAGGTTTCAGTTGCTGATTCGTTTGCTCATCCTCACCAAAATCTTGGAGTAAAATTGGTGTTTCCAAAGGCGCGTCATGTGTCTTCCCTTGGTTTTGGGTAGCTTTTGCCATAACTTCCTGGTGAGTGCTCCTGGGGTCCATGTGCTCCGGCGTGTGAGGCATCGAGACCTGTCCTGTCTCCGTGTGGGTTGCAGCACCCTTGGGAGCAGGTGCTCCCCAGTCCCCAGGGGAGGAAGCAGCCTGAAGCAGTTCTCTCGATTTTTCATCGAGCCGGCGAGTGGAGGAGATGGGACTGAAAAAGATGGCACAGGGATCTTGACTCACTTTCATTAGGCTTTTGTATGCGGTGCCTTTGCACGTTGGACGCCGATCCCCGTAAACCTTTGCGAGCAGGACTGTGGTGACCAGTGCACAAAGGCCCCTTTTAGGTCATCTTGTGGGGAAACTACATGCTCCTTGGTGATTCTGACCCTGGGATCATGATCAGAGCTGCAGGCAGACACTTCACCCACTGAGCCACCCAGGCGCCCCAGGAGTGGTTATTCTTCAGGGAGCAAACTGCTGTGCACCCCCCCCCCCCCCAGATGGCATGCGACTGTGTTTGGCCTCTTGGCCTTGAGGTTACTTTTCAGGAGAGCATCCTGTGGGGTTGGGGAGCCACCTGTATGGTGAGACACGCCTTGAGCTTGGAGTCGGAAGATCTAAGTAGAGGCTTCATCCCTGCTGTTATTTTCTAGTTAAGTGTCCTTGTCGTGCTGTCGTGCTGTTTTTGGGCACCTGGCGGGTCTGCCTGGGAAATCCAGGAGGCCCAGAGGTCTGGCGTGGCTCCGAGGGTGCGTGGGGGCCTCACGTGGGGTCTCAGAAATCCACAGTCACACTCCGGCCCTGGAAGCTCCCCTTCCCTTCTGAGTGGAGGTTTGGGTGACGTCATGTGTCACTGCCTTGAAATTGATGTGAGTTAAGAGAAACTTAATAAGGAATTTCTTTGTTCTAGAACTTCCTAGTGGGTGAGGCTAATGGTTGTTCCTCACATTCAGGATGTGAGGGATCAATCTTTTCTCTTTTCACATTTCTCCTTGCTTAAACGCAACTAGTTCAAGAACTGTTTTAATCTAGAGGCTTGTCATCGCTGAAGAACATTGTCTCAACTGAAATAGCTTGAATCTTATAAAGCTCCTTGCTGGTAACACGTTGTTTCACTTATGTTTGCAGGGTGAGGGAGCATGACCAGCCCCGAATGTGCCCCTGGGCATTAGCCATTCGCTTTTCTTTAGGAGAAAGAAGACCGCCGTCCGCTTGAGAGGTGAGTCAAGATTTCTGTGCAGCTTTTTATCCTACGAATTTCAGACACATGGAAGAGTTAGAAGAATGTGTGGTGAGTTCCTGTGTACTCCCTGCCTACATTTAACACTCATTAGCATTTTGCCACATTGTGTGTGTGTGTGTTTGTGTGCGTGTGCACATGTGTGTGTTTGAGGGCTTGCACATTTTTCTGCTGATGTGTGTAAAGGAAAAATAAGTTGCAGGTATCATGACATTTTATCCTAAATTCTTTGGGACGTAGCTCCTAAAAATAAGGATGTCTTCCCTGAGAGGCATCTTAGAACTCAAAAACTATGAGATATCTCATCTATATCTCATCATCTATATCTCAAAAACTATGAGATATAGAATCATTGAATTAAACACATTGAATTAAATTATTTAATTAAATTATTAAATTAAATTGTTAAATTATAAAAACACATTGAATTAAAATCATTGAATTAAACTATGATTTCTTATTAAAAGGTGTATTTTGGATTTATGATCCCTTCATAGCCGATAAAAACCTTTAAGCAGTGATTTATTTAATGGACAGATAGGCAGCGTGAGCGTGTTTGAAAGAGATCTGTCTGTCCATAAAGGACTGATTGGGTTTTGCACTTGCCCATGGGTCCCGCATAAGAGCGCGGCCGTGTTTTCCTCTTTCGGCATGCTCTGTCCGTCTGTGCCCTGTGGGCTTCACAAGTAGACTTGTCTTTGCTTGAACAGGGTTGAAGGTCTTCACTGAGTTTTTAACCCGAACTCCCAGGAGAATGTGCCAGGGAGATGCGGTCCTGTGAAGCTGAGGTTTTACTGTATTAAAACCAGCATTGAGGACATTGACAATGACTCCCAGCGCCGTCGCTGTGATTTGACTACCGAACTGACACTTTCCCTTCAAACCCCGCAGATGTGTTGAGCTGTGATTAGTTGTAGATGGAAACACATCAGGACCAGTCCCTCGTGATCCCTGGTAGCCCTCGGTGGCTCTGCATGGTGGCTGTGCTGTCCCATGGGCGGCTGTCCTCCACACAGTGCTGGGCTCTCCCGCGGTGGGCCCTGGGAATCCAGGCATTTCTTCATGGAGAGGTTAACGAGCTACAGCTGCCCGTTTCGAGCCTTACTTTAGAAGAAGTCTTTATGTCTTCTTAGATTCTTGGAAGTCTTCTTAGATTCTCGTGTCTTATTTAGACCACAGAGTTCGTGACGGCAGTGAGGTTTCTTGCTGCGGACTTGAGCGCGTAGATTCAGAGGCTTGTGTGGGACAGGCCTGTACCAGGACAGGAACTGGGGTTTGCTCCGTAAGGGGCGATGAGCTCCGTGGGGTACAAGTACATATGCATTGCCCAGTTTTTGACCCAATAAAATGTGTCTGGCTGAATTGGGCGAGCTTTCTGATTTCAGACCTTTAGGGACTAGAATGTTCATTGGAAGGAAGTGGTTCCTGTGGGACTTGGATGTGTTTATGGCTAAATTTGGCTTTTATAAATAAAGTTTTATTCAGACACGATCACGTTCATTTGTTTATGGTTCATCCGTGACGGCTTTTGTACTGCAACAGCACAATCGCACGGTTGTGAGAGAGACCAGGGTTGGTGGCTCCAGCAGTGACCGTAGGGTCCACAAAACCTAATACGTGTCCCCTGGCACTTGACAAAATGTTTGCCAACTCCTGCTTTACTTCATAAAAGCAAGGGCACAGTGGTGATAACCGCTGCATCTTGATGTAGACTCAGCCCATTAATTTTAATGTGAATGCCTTTATTTATTCATTTATTTATCCCACAGATATTTACCGAGAAGCTACTATGTGTCAGGGATAATAAGATGGTGACAGTCAGGTAGGCTCTCACCCGTGTGGAACTTCCCAGGGGCTCCTGTGAACTTGAAGCTCCACTCCAGGATTGTGCTTTGTACGTGTCAGAACAAAAGCGTGAAATGGGAATGGAATGGAATGACCACATTCTCCGTTTTGAATGAGTATATTGGTTATATTTCTTAATTTTATAAATTTGATAAGCACTTTCCATAACGTGATGATCTACATTGATATGGCCGTGTGTCTGAGTGTGTCTGAAGGTCCTGCTCGTTTCCATGGGGTGACAGCCGACTGTCTAAGGCAGCGTGTCTACATTGGGCCACGAGCTTGGACATGCTCATCCCAGCAAGCCAAGCAGACCTCCCATCTCAGGCTATATGAATAATTATTAATAAAACTCAACAGAAAGAAAAGCATGCAGGGTAATAAAATTTGGAATGTGGTATAGCAGATTCATCCATCACTGTTGGCATGCTTCTCTGTTTGCTTACGTGAGGTTATAAAAGTTTGTTCTCTTGATAGGAGGTCATAGAGGGCATTGTCGTGAACAGAGACAGGTGAAGCAGTTAACACTGCTTTAACCCCGGTAGTGTTTTCATGTATGTGCCTAGATGCTTTATGGGCATGAGTCACTGCTCTGTCGTCACCCCAGACTGTGCTCCGACAGACAGAAAGGAAATGCCGTTGACTCATCCCTGCAAACCCTCACAGGGCCGTCACGGCTGCCTTGGCTCGTTCCAGCCTGAGACATCCTTTAGGAAAGTGAAGTGAGGTCGAACATTTATTTGGATGTTGGAGGTACAGTTGGTTAGCTGCGTGGAATGATGTAAAGATGGCAAAAGGCATGACGTCCCGACAGTGTTCACTCCTTGCCTTAGAACCGTCTGCCATCGGGCGGGATGCTTCTTGTCACCCTCTGGGGCAGTGATCTGGGTGACCGTGCTTTGCCCTGAAATCGGAGCCTCTCGGGAGGGGCTGTGCATGGGGGTCAGACTCTGCACTGGTTGGTTTTGTTGCCATGATTGTAATAAAGTTAAGGTGTAGCTCTTCTTTCTGAGGGAGAGATGGTATGTATGCATTCACACGTTCTGCTTCTGTGTTTAAAATGTTTTTACAGCTTCCGTCCTGCCCTTCGTTTCAGTAGTTTTTTTCAGTGGTGCAGAATTAGGGATAAATGAAAAATGAGAATGGAGAAGACTGATGACAGTTGTTTTCCTCACGAAACTGGAAACCGTCGACTTAACTGCTTTGGCTAAAAAGAAGGGTTTCGGAAGCAAAATGAGGAGAGGCGGAATCACCTGATCTGTGGTGCTAGAGAAGCTGTGTCTTCTGTCCTCAGGACAGGGAGCTCTTCTACCCAGACCTCCAGCCTCGGGGACGTCTCATTTGTCAAGGACAGCTCCTTAAGACCGACTTCCTCAGCCTCCGGTTTGGCCTCTGGAGAGGGGTCGTACCGACGTGCACACGAGCATCTCATGGCAGAGCGAGTGGGGGTCTGGGAAGCGTATGAGGATGGTTCTCTTGGCCAGGAAGGCGGGATAAAGAGGTGATTAAGAACTCGGACGCTGAGGCCAGGTTCCATGGGTGCCATTATTAGCCACAGACGATTTTGACCTGTTACTTAACTTCTCGTGTGCCCCGGTCTGCTCACCAGTGCCATGGGGATGAAGGTGTCCCCTGCGGGGCTCTGGGAAGGGCTGAATTAATGGATGTGTGCCGGGCACTTAGGACAGTGCCTGATACCTGCTAGTCTGTCCCTTGTGAATTTTTAAAACAGCCCTGCGGGCGAAGTGTCCTCCTCATGTGACAGGTGAGGGCGCCGACGTACAGAGTCGCGTGACCTATAAGAGTGACACCTGCTGCCGTCAGGTCTCCTGACTTCTTGTGGCTACGCTGGTCATTGCGAGGATTTTGGGGGCGTTTGGAGTGATAGGAAGTCCAGGGAGCAGAGAGGGAGACTCTTTGGTTCCGGAACAGTTCCCGCTGTTTGGACGTACCTAAGTGTGACGCAGGAAGCATTGCTCGTGGGTTCACTTCCACCGTGGTCTCTGGCTTCCCTCCATCGGGGTGCCCCCGGGCGTGTTTTGGAAGCATCACACCGAGGAAATCCACGCCCACAGTGTCCCACGGTGGCGGCCACATGCTTGGGAGAGTCAGCTGTGTCCGGGGTTGGCACTCACCCTGGGAATGTTGGCTGATTCATTAATCAGATCCAGCATTAGGACCTCAGAGGAAGCTAAGATTTGTGTGGCCCAGAGGTGATTTGACCCTGAAGTGTGGGGTGAGGACATGGCTCCTGTGGAGCGGGGCTCGGGCCACCCGAGTGCTGCCTCACCAGTTTCTTCATGAAGAATATCGTCCCACAGCGTTGAGAATGTCTTACGGAGAAATTATTCAGATGGACTCCTGAAGGAGACTTGCCTCCAGGGGCTCAGACCTTGGTGTGACCCAGACGTCCGACGAGGGTCATGCTGCTTTCTGAGGACAAAGACAATGATTTCTTTGTACTTACTGTGGACTCAAGACACTGGAAACTTAGTATCACTGTGGGTAATCTGTTACATACCCTAAATATGCAGCCGTCCACGCAAGGAAAAATGTGGCGGGGGCCCACAGTTTTGGGGGCTCCCTCCCTGCAGGGGCCTTTGGAGAAACACGGCTCTGCTCAAAACTTCCAAAGCTGGCTTCTTGGCCAGACCCGCGCACTTGGCCCCGCAGTGGCCTTGGCCCGTGTCCGTCCCCCCACCCCCCCGCTCACCGCCTGGCGTGTGGGAGGCGCTCAGATATTTCTTGAATGAACAGATCTGTCTGAACTGTGCCTTTGTCTTCAGTTTGCGTTTCTCTTAACAAGAAGTTGTTTACCATGCGCATGTCTTCGGAAATTAAAGCTCCGAGCCCTCTGTTACCTCCTGCGTCTGAACACACGGCTTTCTGTTGTCTCTTCGGAGGAAGGCAGTGCTGTTTTGAGCATTGATTCCAACACCTGGTTTTACAATGACATTGATATTCCAGAGAATAGCCCTTTGCAGAGAATAGAGGGGTTAGCTATGAATTCTGGAGAAATGACCCTCGGTTTGCCAAGTGCTTGTGGGAAGCGTAATAGGTTCTGAGATTTAATCCTCCTTGCTTTGTTCTCAGTTCCTTGGGAGCCTTTTGCCGTGCTAAGTAGTCTGGGATTA